ATAAACAGTCCAAAGAGCATTATAAACAAACACGAGCCATTATATTTTTGCTTGTTTGTTTTGTGATTTCTTTTTTCCCCCTCTTGGGGAGACAAACAATGCAGGAATTTCACTTTAGCAGGCAATTCTTGTACCGTAGCCCCCCTGCCCTGCACCCACTCTTGTTCTGGGACAGAGTCAGACCGGCTTAGCTGACCCGTGGCTGTTCCCGTGTGTGTTGGCACTGCCAAGACTTTCACTGTAACTCTGCATGCTGCGGACACTGCCGAGCCAGATCAGATCCAGAGGAGCACCGTGGCTTTCATCTTGGCATGGAGAGCAGGGGCTGCTGGGAAGGCAGGGGAGACTATTTTGGGCACGGCACATGGTAGCAAATGGAAACAGGGAAACCAGAGACAGGCAGTTTTCCTCTGCCATCTGAACAATATGATGTGTCACGCTGAAAGGAAGAGGGAGAGTTCCATGCTGGGAAACTACTCCTCTGCTGGTCAAAACAGAAGGAGGAAGAAGAGGCTGGGGGTAGAGAGAAAATGCTCTGGTAGGTAGGATTTACAGACGCAAAGCCCAGAGATTGTCTTTTTTTTTTTTTAATAACCAAAAATAGCGAAATGCAAAATAGCTTTAGCCTTTGTTCATTTCCTTCGTCTTACAGGTACTAAGATTTATTAACTTGCTCAAGCTAAGAAACCTGTGCTTTGTATAGCATTGCTCTAGAGCAAAGCTCCACATCCCAGAACTCTTCCCAGATCACCGAAGCCAAGTCCAAATCCTCCGAGAGCCATTCCTTCTGTCCCCTTCAGAGATGTCCCTCCCTTCCCAGGGTGCCTTCCCTTCTTTGCAGGAGTGACAGACCTAACTCAGTGGGCTCTAGCCTCTGCCCAGTGAACACTTCCGATTCCTTGAGATTTACATATGCATCCTTCTCTTCTTGACCTTAGTATTTTTCAGGGAGTTTATATGTTCTTCAGGGTTTTTTTTCGGGGGGGGTGTTTTTTATTTTTTTCCTATCTTTCCAGGAAAATTTCCACGGCAGTTGAGAGCAACCAAAAACTCTAAAAATCACTTACTCATTTCCCCAGTTTGGTGGCCCTGCCTCAGTTCAATGTTTTAGACTGTCTCTCCCTTCATTTCCAGTTTCACAGGAAATAGAAACCCCAGAATGAATATATGTGGTAGCCACCATGCTCAGTCTAGATATCTAGCCTGCTCCAGCTTTAAATCCAGCTGTTTTTATTTATTTACAATTCAGGCACAGGTTGCAGCACAAAGGAAAACAGTGTGGCTTTTTCCTATTAGTCTAATGTCAGTAGGCTCTCCTACAGGTCTTCCCCTGGTAGTACATGTGGCTCCTGATGGGCTGGGGAGGAGAACAGTTATGGGGTGGAACCAGGAAGACTAGATTTTCACTCTCCACAGACTTGAACTGTGACTTTGGGAAAACTGTATCCTTTAAACCTAAAAATCTTTGTAAATAATTAAACACTTATCGAAAATCTACTCTGCACCGTGTGGCCAGATAAATTGCCAGCATCGTGTCTCAGGTAGTTTCTAAATGATACAGTGTAGCAAGCATGATGCAGGGGCATGAGACATGGTGCCAGAAGGTGGGGAGGAGGAAGATCTGTCCCACCCTGCACACTTGCAGAAAGGCAAACCTATGAGGAAATATTTCTCTGGAAATGATACGCTCTGTAAGACCGAGGGCCACGTCTTGTTGCTGTATTTCTAATACCTACAGCAACTCAGTGGTGTTGGGTGGTAATTCCAGGAAAACTACAGAGGCGATTAAAGAGTAGTGGTAGCCAGAAGCTAGTGTGAGGAGTGCGATAAATGGGTAGAGATTGGAGGATTTTTAGGGCAATGAAACCATTCTGTATGCTGTAATGGTGGATGTACATCATCACACGCTGGTCAGAACTCACAGATGGTATAGCCAAGAGTGAACCCCAATGAAACTACAGGCTTTGGTTAATATGCTTTTCAGTACTAATACACACCCTTGTAGGTTCATGCCTCATAATGTAGGGCTTTGATTGTAAGGGAAGCTGTCTAGCACAGAGGCAAATGGTACATGGGAACTCTCTACACTTTCTGATGGAATCCCTTCTGCAAGCCTGAAACTGCTCTTAAAAAATAAGGCAGGTATAGGACATAAAGAGACCTTTCTTCAAAGAAGATACCCAAGTGTCCAATAAGTAAAGGAAACGCTAATCCATCTCATTAGTCATTTGGAAAATCCACATAAAAACCACAATGAAAAATCATTCTACCACCAAGATAGGTATATTTTTTAAAGAGAGAGAGAAAACAAAAAAAAATAACCAACAACTGTTGTTGATGATAGGGAGAAATACGAAACCTCTTCCATTGCTGGTAAGAATGTAAAATGTTAGAGAAAAAAGTTTGGCCATTCACCAAAAGGTTAAACATGGAATTACCGTCCTACCCAGCACTTCTGATCGAGGTATGTGGCTAAGAGAAGGAAAACATCCACCTGCACATGCACGTCCACAGTGGCATCGGTTGTAATAGACAAAAGCCATCAACTGATGAATCCATAAAGTGCTCCTGGGCAATGAGATGTTATTTAGCCACAAGAAGCACATACGAGGGTGCAACGCTACAACAGAGATAAACCTTAAAAACACCACGTGGAACATGAGAGGTCACAATAAATGAATTCATTTATCACGAATGTTCAGGATGAGTAAAGCCAGAGGCAGAAATCAGAACAATGGTTACCAAGGAAGTGGGGTAGAGTGGGGGACGGAAAGGACTGTGTAACGGGGTTGGCGTTTCCTGTGAGGTGACAAAAGTTTTCTAGAATTACACGATAGAGGTTCTTTGTACGATATCACGTGTGTACAAAACTATATGGTGAGACCCTATCTCAAATGAGTAAATAAATACCTACTGCAGTCCCTACAGTCTTCAACAACTTGAATGAATAATTAATTAAAATGATGAGTTTTTCCATTCTGTGAATTTTACTGCAATTTAAAAGCTTTTGTAAACGTTCAAACCAGGTAAGGATGTGAGAAAATACCCATTCATAAAGTTGTAATCACTATGCACGTAATAATCCAGGTTCATTAGAAATAAACTAGCTGGGGCCAGGGATTTAGCTCAGTGGTTTTGCCACCTGCCTCGAAAGTGCAAGATCCCAAGTTCAACCCCTAGCACTAAAAATAAATAAATAAAAATAAACTAGCTGTCTATAGATAATCTCAGAGGCATGTAATCCATATAAAGTCAAGTTGCCTTGGGAGTCAGTCTCAGCGAAGTGTTAATAACAAGAGTAGCAAAAAGCGGCAGCCTAGTCTCAAGATAATATGAAAGTTTTGATCTCTTAGGATAATCCCTTAACAAGTGAAAAGAAGTTTACCTCCATCCTGTCATATGAACTATTGAGTGTGGTCTAATCTCGCTCAGAGTCCAAATCCTGTCTGTCTGGGTTGAATTTAGCTTTTCTATCTGTTCCCTTGGGCAAGTCATTTGTTTAACCTTTCTGTGCTTTATTTTCTATTGGCTAATTATAGTACAGTAGACCCTTGACTTACAAACTCAATGGGTTCCCGAGGGCTGGTTGTAACTCAGGTTGGTTGTAGGTCAGTACAGCTGAGATCTGGATGCTTACCTGGGTACACACTCTGGATAACAAGAGGCAGATGAATCTTTCATTCACCCAATTAACCCAAGTTGTTTGCATGTCAAGTTTGTCATAACTTTGGGGCCCAATGTATCCAACAGGGCTGCTGAGGGTTAAATAACTTGATGGAGCTTGGCATATCCTAAATGCTCCATAAATGTCAGCAAACAAAGCCTGTCTTCTGGTCCCCTATCACCCTCAGTCCTTGGCACTTGTTAACCTTCTTCCTTCTGCTCCAAACCCTGCCCACGTCAGCCACATGAATTCCTTTCTCTACTCCTGTTAGCATTTATGTGGCTACTGACTTTTGCTTTTTCAGAGACAAACCCAGTAAGGCCACCGTGGTTACCCTTCGTTCCTTCTCCCCTCTACCTTCCGTCCTCCACAGGTCCTCAGCTCTCAGAAGTTCCCTTAGCAGGGAAAGGAGGAGTCAGCGGCTGTGCAAACTTGTAGGGAACCCTTACCAGGGTGAACAGAACCTGTGAGAGGTGGGAAATGGCCAAGATCCATCTGCAGTATCTAACAAGTGCCAACACTGTGCTAAAGGCTTTGTGTATCATCTCATTCAAAGTTTGCGCTTTCCAAGATTTGCAGAAGCATCCAGATTTGCAGAAACAGTGAACATGTTACTTCTATAACCAGAACATTTTACCTTCTATAAACATCTATGCACAAAAATATAGGTACTATTAAGATGAAAGTCAAATTGTTGAAGATTGTAGGAACTACAGTAGGTATTTACTTATTTGAGACAGGGTCTCGCTATGTAGTTTGGGCTAGTCTTGAACTTACTATGTGGTCTAGATCGGCCTTGGACTCATGGTGATCCTCCAGCCTCAGCCTCGGGAGTGCTAGCATTACAGGGGTGAGCCACCACACCAGGCTTTCTGGTTGTGGATGTTGTTTTTTTACCTGGAAAGGGGAGGCTTGACAGAGTCAGACATCACAGCCATCCTCAGCTTTCTCAGAGATGGGGAAGAGAACTTGAACTCAGTTCTGGGGCCATTTCAAAAGGAGAGTTCTAATCAGTGAGAGAAAATTCTAGGGAAGAAAGCTTTTGCTCCCTGGAATAACGTTCTTTTAAAAATTCCTTTCCAAATGGCAATTTATCTAAATCAACAAGTATTGTTGATTCGTGCATCCTGAAGAAGGCTGGAGAAGTCTAAGATCATTTTTAACTCTGAAGATGTTTGCTTGACACTCTGTTTCTAATAATGCAGGCCAATCAGTAGAATGGAGAGGGTTTGGGTGTGTGTGTGTGTGTAAATGAGGAATAACTGATGCTTATGGGCTGCTTCGGTGCAATGCTAATCTTATTAAGTAACAGAGAGGCTGCAGGAGAGGCCTGTTTATGCAGCAAGTAGGGAGATGACAGGCGCAGGACAGTCAGGGCTGCTGTCCCTGCTCAGGTGAGGTGCACCGCAGCACCCTCCCAGGCAGATCCCTATTAGGGTCGCTTGCATAATTCCTTCCCTGCCCCAGGCGCCGGCTGTACCCTGGGAGCCGGCTTCCTGATCCTCCAGTCGCTTTCTCTTCAGAGTAGATCCTCTGCCGGTTCACTTTCTCGGGCGCAGATCTTCCTGGATTGCTTCGCCTCGGTCTCAGCCTCCCCGCCTCGCCGGCCGTCACAGAGTCCTTGTCGCCTAGCGAGTGCTCGGCGAGTCTGGGGCTCCCCATCTCAGGCACACAGGGCGTCCCTCCGGTAGGTGCCCGGGACCCTGCCACCCCGACCCCGACCCGGGAAGCCTCAAGGGGCTGGGTTTGTTTGGAGCAGCCGGGTCGGCACTTGGGGGCGCTGGGGGCGCCGTCTCCACCGTCCTCTCCACCGTCTCCACCGAGCGGCCTCAGAGCTGCTGGGTCCGGGTGTGTCGCGTGGGGGGGAGAGCGGGTGGTGCGGCCACCGCGGACCCCAGGACAGCCCAAAGGGGATGTGGCCAGGACCCTCGGACTCCGCCCAGACCCTGCCAGGACCCCAGATCCTCGAACCCTGGGCACCCCAGGTGAGCACACCGGACCCCTCTTCCCTGTGCATGCACAGCAGTCTCGCGCCAGATCTGGTGTCTCGGGGTCCCGGGACGGCATATGGGGTCCAGCGCCAAGGTCCCGTGGGAGGTCTTGGGCCACCCTCCAGGGGGCGCAGCTTTCCAAAGCCCTCGCCTGGCAGTTCCGGAGGGGACAAAGGTGGGCTGGGGGTGAGGCTCGCACTTGGAGTCCCCGCCCCGCCCCCCACCCCAGATCAGGCTCAGGCACCTGAAAATTACCTGGGCTGGACTCAGGCAGTCGCGGGGTCCTGGGCATCTTGTACACCACCTACCACGGGGCCTGGGTTTTATTTCAGTTTAGGATTTATTCCAGATACACTGTCTTTCCTGTCCCCACTGATGCAGCAGAGTGTGGTTTGGACACCTCCCTGCCCTTTTCAGGGAAGGGACAAGAGCATCTAACGAGTGCATTGCCCGGCTGGTTGTGTGTGTGTGTGTGTGTGTGTGTGTGTCCTTTTTTAGTGGGAAAAACATTTTCTGGGCTCCTCTGCTTCAAACAGCCCCCCATTTTCCCACTCATGCAAATGAAAGGACGTAACAACCTACCCTTCGGCTCCCACCTGGTCCCCTTCAGCCAGGACCACACTGTGGCAGGCTGAGGCTTGAGGAAAGTAGGACATTGGTGCCACGCAGCTCAACTTCCATGCCTGCACCACCCTCGGTGACACTGACTTCAAAACTCAGGGCAGATGTGGCGCAGCCACAGGGTGACACTCGCTAGCCGGCCTCCTACATCTGCCGGCACAGGGAAGATAGATGGATGCACAGAAGCTGAGGCCGAGAAGCAGCTAAATGCTGACTGGGGCCGGCAGGGAGTGAACATTTGGCTGATTTCAGTGCAGCCATTGATTTCCTGAGCCTCAGAGCTATTATATTAAGTACGATCTGTGTTTGAGTTCAATTCATGTAGAATGTGAGCAGCGCTTTGCTTTCCAGTCAACTGCAAATTGAATCAGCATTTGTGGAGCAACTATTGCCTGAGACCAGGCCTAGATTGTCCTGAACTAAAGGGGCAGGATGTCAGCAGGATTGAAAATGCCTAATGCACACAGATCCTAGGGAGTTTGGGAACCAGCAGCGCCTTTCCCCGGGGACGAGCACTGAACAGACCAAATGGGGACCGTGGGCTTCTCTTGTGCAACTCTTTATTACACACTTTGAAGAGCCACTTGCACACTTACTTGCGCACAGTCCTAGATAGGTCAGGAGCTAGGCTTCTCATTACAAGACCAACTCTAGCCTCAGGGAGGTTTCGTTTTCCTCTTCCTCTTCCTTTCTTTGCCATCCACTCAACTGATGCCACCAGCTGTGTGCTGTGCAGGCCCTGTGCTGGGGCTCAAAAGAATGAGGCCCATATTCCCTAGAATGGAAGGATGAGGAAATAGGTGATAATGATTCCACATGGTGAGCGTTTAGTGCTGATGAGAACAAGTTGTGGGAGCTCAGAGGAGGCAGGGTGGCAGGGATCGGGAAGAGTCTGCGGAAAGCACAGGTTTGGACTGGATCCCAGGGGGTAGTCAGAGCCCCCAAGCAGGTGCTGGGCATCCCACATAGAAAAAGAGTCACCTAGGAGTCTGAGGTGTGGGTGTTGGGGAGTTGGAGGAGGTTCCACTCAGCTTGGATCAGCCTCTGCCCTGCCCTGGAGGAGGAACCCTGCAGACTTTATGGGAAAATGATTTAATCTAATGTATAATTTGAAAAATGACTCTGTAGGTGGCAAGGAGGAAGGGTTGCAGAAAGGAATGAACTCAGCTTGGAGTTTAAAAAAATAAGTCATAAGATGCCAGAACCAGGAGACAGTGCAGAAAGGGAGAGAAGAGAAATCTACAGAGACCTATGCAGAGGAGAATCCCTGGTACTTGGTCACCAGACAGGCAAGGACTTGGGAAGAGGACTTTAGATATGAAAAGGATGCTGAGGCTTTTAGCTGAATTGGGGACGAAAGAGGACGAGCAAGTTTGAGAAAGATGGGGAATTTTTCTTTTGAACATGGGAATGAAATTGCTCAGTGGGCACTTGTATTTCTTCCTACCTGGTGCTTACTTTTGACTGAGGCTCCTGACGTGTGACCTTTGAAGAAGAAGGCCAACCAGGGCCCAGGAAGTTGTTTCTGCTTTTATGTCCAAGAGTGAATGTATTAACTCAGTCATTCCCACTACCGATCTGGCCAAGTGTGAATAATGATAATCCTGTCTAACCTTCACTTAGCTTGCTTCCTATGTGCTGAGCACCCAGAAGTTAGACTTGTCCGTGGATTATCACCTTCGTCCTGCTGGTAACCTATGGCAGGCACTGCTCTCACGTAACTGAAAAGGAAACCAGGGTGAGGAGAGGGTGCCTGTTCAGGTCACTCGGCCAGTAAGAGGTTCTTCAGCTCTGTGTTGAAGCCCTGAGTTGCCAGTGTGACTTACACAGTAACATTAAAATCATTCCTCCTTAGCCTCGAATGTATTTTGTCCCCGTGTTTGAGTATTTGTGGCTGATGCCATAGATGAGAATTGGAACTGAGTCCGGAGGCCTGGTTGTCGGGCAGGGCTTTGCAGCTGATATACTGTGCTTTTGTAAACTCACATCTCTGTTCAGGCTGTAGTTATTTTAAATCTGTGTAACCCCAGGAGATGACATCGGCTTAATGCTCACTTAAGGAGTCTGTATCCTGAAAGGATTTAAGATCCTCCTACAAAATTGATTGGTTTGGGTTAAGATGATGCCTACCTGGTAGCTTTTATAACAGGATACTTAGGAAAGCATGAACTCAAACATCTGCTTGTTCTTTATGGCTTGTATGAATCAGCACACAATGCAGGCCTACTGGGGCGGGGGACTGATGTTAGGGAGAACCCTGCACAGTCCCTAAAGCAGGGGAGTATCCAAAATCACTGACCACATTCTTTACTTTAGACGTGTTACTTAAACTTAGAGCATTTCCTCATCTCTGAAAAACTGGACAACTAATGCCCATGTCGTAAAGTTGATGTGAGGATTGGAACAGAAAATGTAAACCAGACACCATTTACAAATTGGCCTCGTTGACCATGCTCAGAAAATGGGAGTCCCCACCCCTTGTCCTCAGGGTAGCAGACATGTAGAAAGGGAAGCAAACTGTCCCACTGCAAAGTTTCCAGAAGAGCCACCCCTTTGTTAAGTATCATCTGTCCATCTTAGAAAAAAGGACCTATTGGGAATATAAAAAGAGATTCAAAATGTGAATCTCTCTACTACTCTTTAAAATATTGACCTCTTGTATGTAAGGAGCACTTTCCTTGACTGAACTTTGGATTCTTCTTTTTCTAGTCTATACAGAGGCCAAGTTGCTGTGAAGAAATGTTACTGCTTATTGTGACTATAAAGTGCTGACCATCCTTGTGTTACCAAATGCTAGGTGTCATGCGTTGTAGTTTAAATTCATCTTGTTGAGGAACAAAAGGGTGTCAAATTTAACTGAAACTGCTTTTTAAATATATAGTAAGTTATGTGACTATGGATGGCACTTTCTAGAAGTTAAGGAGTGCTTCCCAAAATAGCTCCAATTTCCTGTAATTCAGAATAGTCACAGAAATATTTTCTGTAATGGAGAGGGAAAGGCCTACATTTTCGTATCTGATCTCCCCACTAAGCACACTGAAACAAGGGATGAAAGACAGGGTTCCCAAGCTTTGCAAAAAATCACACATAAAAACACACTGTCATGATTATTTTTGGACAAAAGAATTATGTAGTTTTGAGCTCGGTGTAGCTTTTATTACTCTTTCCTTAGTTCTTTGTGGAAATAACTGCTTCATGCATTCATGTGACAGTTGTGCCTGCTGCAAAGCTTCATAAAATATCCTGGGGCCATGGGCCGTGCCTTGAACTTCCTGTACCCTGTTGGGACACAGGGTGAAAAGCATGAAGTTGGCACAAAGAGGCTGGGATTCCAATCTCAGGGCTGTCACTTCCCAGCTATGTGACCTTGAGCTTCTCATCAACCTAATAGTCATAGGAGCTGGCATTTGTCACACGTGGACCCTGTGCCAGACGCTTTGCTCAGCACACTACATACGTTGTTGTCTCGTTTAATCCTTTTGACAACTCCTGGGCAGGTTACTATTGTCCCTGTCCACGGAGGAGCACATCCTGAAGGTGAAGGTCTCTGAGTGACAATTATCTACCCAATTGGGAACTAATACAGCCCAGTAGATGGCAGGCTGACTAGATAGGAAGTGCTTCTCTGTAACACACTGAGAAAACTGTGTCTCCTCATACAAAGGACTCATTTCCTCTGAGAGTCATTTATTTGTAATGAGCACCAGGCTTGGGCAGTATGGGGCTGACTCTGCCATTACCTGGAGCAGTCTGGCAATTGGGAGAGAGAGACAAGAAGTGAGGCTGACTGGGCAGGGTTTCAGTACAAAGGGAGAAGGCTGAGGGTGAGTCAGAGCCAAGGGCGAGGAAGGGAAGGGACTGTGGAAGGGGTGAGAAGAGAAGCTGTCACTAAGGTTCACCGAGGGTGCAGAGTTCTGCTCTGGGAGGTAAGCACAATCCCTAGGGTTGGCTGAGGTCTGCTCCCATGTGGGACCTAACTCTTTTGTTGTTGTTGTTGGTTTTTTTTTTTTTTTTTTGAGATCTCTTTTTCTTACCAAATGTGCTTTCCATAAAAATGTTGAAAAACACAAGAAAG